ATAGACTTAACAATAAGGCATTGCTGCTGAAAAGTACAGATAATGAAAGTAATATTTTGTTGATAACTAAGATTCTAAAACGTTGTTTGACTGATTCCTCATTGTGTTCTCAGTGTGTGTAGTTTATGTCTTTTTGTGTGAGACAGTTTTACCTTTGCCATGGAAGTAGTCTCTGTAGTACCTGGCCCCCAGGTCTACATGTTCTATGCTGTACAGTTTCAGTCTGTCCAGTCTCGTAACCTGCTGTTCAATAGGCACCTCCAGCACTGAGACACTGGCGTTACTCCTCCTCAGCCACCCTCTTCCTCCCTCTCCTCCTCCATCTCCTCCGCGCTCTGCTGACAAGCTGAGGAAGCTGATATTGCGCTCCCCGTGGCCCCCAATCTCATTGAGGAAGTGTGGGCAGCAGAGGAGCATTGGGCTAGAGCTGTGGGCTCCAAGTGGGCCATCCAGAGGGTCCATGCTCAGGGAGGGTGCTGTGGAGGCAGGTTCGAGGCTCATGGTCAGGTCTTCAATGCTGGAGTAAACTGGCTCATTCACACTAGTAGCAGTGGACCTGGGGATAGACAGGGACACTGAGGCAGCTGATGCCCCGGTGGCAGTGTTCCTCCTCTGGGTGGCATAGCCCCGCTGGGCCGCCGCTTCGTGGAGGTCAAACAGGATGCTCTGGGCGTCAAAGTGGACAAAGCTCTTTGGGCACACCCACTGTTTGTAGGAGCCATCTGTTGAACTGTCATTAGTCTCTCCTTTTCCTCCATCCAACTCGCATCTGCTCGAGCTCCGAAGTTTCCTGAACAAAGACGAGGTGCCGAGTGACGACTCTGTCCCTCCACTTTTCTTTCTCACCCTCTCAGCTCCTTCCTTCTTCCCTGTCCCTCTGTCGTCTCCACCTGTGGGACCAGGTGAGGGAGCAGAGGGAAGCGGTACACTTGGTGGCGAGTCTGGAGTTCGCAGCAGCTCCCCGAGGTGTACAGGTGCTGAGCTGCGCTGGTCAGGCCTCTCCTGGTGGAACTGGCTGAGCATGTCGAAGAAGCTCTGCTCAGGGATGCCCTGGATGTCGATGGAGGAGGTGCTGCCGTACTCTCGGAACAGGATCCCCATCCCACCACCTCCACGAGCCTCCACCTTGGAGCAGAAAGGGGAGTTAATTTTCAGTCTGTGATGACATGTGTACAGTTAGGTGCTTTCACACGAAACCTGTTTATTCCAAACAAACTCTGGAATGTTTGCACATTTGGTTCTACTTGTTTGGACTGATGTGAAAGTTGTCAATCAAACTCTAGTACAATCCTAACATCTGGAAAGAGATTACCTGAAAATGTGGGCTATGAAACAAACAATGGTGTGGATCCTATGTATTGTGAAACCACAGTCATTTCTTGTAGTAGAAATGTGATTTCAGTCTGTGACTTTAGGTTTAGTGCCTGGTTTTATTTTAGTAAGTCAATTGAACACAAACCAAAGAAAAGCTAAAAGTCTTGTATGGACCAGAGGAACCAAGCTACTGGTGTTTTAGACTCACCTCATTCTCATCCTGCTCGCTGAGTGTCACTTCACTGTTGGAGCGCTGTCGCAACGGTGGGAAAACTCTCAGACTCAAAGGTGAACCTCTTTCACCTCCAAAGCCCCCGACCCTGAACTCTACATCCCTTGATCGTCGCCGTGGCAACCTTGCAATTCCTCCCCGCACCAACCCGACGTCAGATGACAAGAGCGATGATGAAACTGAGGTGGAGCAGTCATCTCCATAGTGATTGCTGCTGATTTGCCCATTCTCAATGAGCGACTCTCGGGACTGTGCACGACGCGGAGGCCACTCGGCGATCCGCGCTCGAACCCCCATTTTGGGCACAGACATGCGTGGCTGGATGGCAGGGTCTGTGGGGGCTGGGTGGCCATTGGGGGTGTGACAAAATGGAGTGTGCTGAGACAACACCCCTCCTCCTCCTCCTCCATCCAAAAGGTCCGAGGAGGTGCAAGTGACCCCTCTGTCTCTGTAGTTGTTCATGGCTCCCCAGGAGAGCTCAGGGCTGTGGTGCAGGGGGCTGACATCCTATGTCCGGAGGGGTGCTGGGGAGGAGGGAGAGAAGGGGCCCCAAACAGACTCTGCTGACAGTGCTACGGCCTCCAGCTCCCAGAAACATTGCCTTTAACTGGCAGGGCGGGAAAGAATTCACTGGTCCATGATGGACCAGAATGAGTCAGGACCAGTTCTCCTCTTCTTCTTCTCTGAATATTTTCACTCTGAGAAAAYAAAAAAAAAAACAAAAACAGTTTCAACAATTGGCAAAAAGAAATCTAAAACCAAAACAAATTATATTTAAAATACTGAAACATTTTAACAAACAAAAACTGAGCTCTGAAACCAGAAAAAAGTGACTCACTCAACTCAACTGTAAACCAGCGTGAGGCTGATAAGCCAGAGAGAGAGAGAGAGAAAATAAGTTGAAGGATGTGACGCAGGATTTGTCCCATTGAGGCTAATCTTCAGGAGGCTGACAAGGGACATTATTATCACACACACACACTGTGCTCACGAGTGTGCGTGCATGCAAAAACACTCAAATAACCACAGGACATAAAGGCTGCAGTGACGATGCAGCGTAGCTCGTGACCGATTTTGTCATCATGCTGACACTGAGCTCCACATAGCTGAGTCACGGAAACATGTTTTCTCTCCATTTCTAAATATCCAAATTCATCTTTTTTTTTTATGATGATCTGCAAAAAAAAGTTTTTATATCAAAACCTATGCACAGACTCCAATATATCTGTTAAAGGCCTATGTAACTGAGCTCTAAGGCACAGATACAGGAATACTGTCAGATTGGTTTAAATCCTAACACTCTACTCGCCCATCATAGGACAATGAGCTTCTACTTCTGCTGCTGTAGTGAACAGAAGAGATAGGTTTGATGGTGCCAAATGAAGAAAAGGAAACAAATTCTCAACACAATTCTCTGTCAAATAATTTCTCATGCTCCCAGCAGCCTGCAGCTGGACACAAAAATATTTTAATATCAGCGTAAGAGTAAATGGCAGGCAAAAAAAATAAAAAAATCTCAAATAATTTTGAAAACCCTCCGAAGTCACACAACTCAAAACTCAATATAGACAACATGATGATAATAACAGTTTGTGAGGTGGTTTGGATATTCTGAATGAGAGCTTCAGCAAAAAGTCTAAAAATATAAAACATACATCTGTGCTGTAGTGCTGCTACTTTCCACTTTCTGTCTAATCTCATTCTCTATTTTAGGTCTCTGTTCTGGGATTAAAGTTCCTTATCTACACAAGTCTCTGCTCAAAGCGACAAAGTTATTCACATATCTACTCTAAGTGTTTTCAGAGAGCAAACATACACCGTCTGAAAAATGCAGTGTATATGTGGATGGATTGAGCACATTTATACGCACATGCCTGCGCACACACACCTTTTAAATTGTTGTTGGAATCCAGTTTTCCTATACCATGCTATTAACACAACTCTCATGAAATCCCAATGATTTACATTATATCCTGTATTATAGAATTGAAACATAAATAACATTTCATTAAATGCCAATTATTGAAGCATTTTCCTCATCAGCTTTTAATTAGATTGACCTTTTGAAATTTCTGTAAAGCTCTTTTCCTCGATGAATCAGACAGAAGTGGATTATGATTCAACCCCTGCCCTCTCTGTCTCTCAAATGCACACAATGTTTCACTGTATAATCGTTTGGACTAAGATATAACCACAGTAAAATTTAGGCACTTTCACTGATTTCAAGACCTAAGTTTGAGGAGCTAAATACTCTTTCCAGTAAGTCTAACAGCCTACAGAGTTCATACGAAGAACAACTTTGATGTGAAAACAAATATGTGCTTGTTTCTCTCCAGCTGCCTCAGAATCTCACAAATGTCGACTTCTGGGCCGCGAACTTGTTATGAAGTCCAATTTGCATAAAGTTGAGCTTTCCGTTGATTCGAGGCAGCTCATAGTGGTTTGTGTGTTTTATGATACACAACGTCTTCTTTTATGAAACACAATGTCCTCTGCTGAATTCATTTCTGGCCCCAAGACTGTATTACTCAGTCACTCATACACGCACTATCAACAAAACTCATTCACAGCAAATAAAATCCCCAACTCGTCATCAGGCCATGCTAATGTATCGTGTCTTTGTTTATGGCGAATCAAAGGCACTTAATGTCCCAAGAGTCCTGCTCTGATCATGCTTTCTGACAGAGTCTTTCCTCATCCGGAGAGCTGTCCTGTGATCCACTATCAGGCCCAATCCTACACTGTCCAGCCCCAGCTGCAGGAGCTGCCCGCAGAATGGCTTTATTATGTGTCTGAGGTGCCTGTTGAAAGAGGCGGTGGAGAGAGTGTGGTTTGCTCTTTATTAGTGACTTCTGTCAGCACAGAGCCCATCAGTGACACACACACACACACACACACACACACACACACACACACACACACACACACACACACACACAC